CCCCCCCCCCCCCCCCCAAACCCTTTCTCCCACTACCCCGAAAGCGTCGATGGCGCGCGACGGTTCCCGGAATCTTCGTCGAAGCGATTGAAAAAAAAAAAAAGATCGGGAAATCGCTTAACCTGTAATTCTTGTTAATTTCTATAATTAGCTCCGTTAATGCCACACCTGAGATATGCAGATAAATGTACATGGAATGGACAGATTGAAAACGTAAAATTTCCTTGTACTTAACGCTTGTTCTTCTTAGAAAATAAATGAAAACTTAAGGAAAATTGGTCCTATCTTCTCACTACTTTAAACATGCGTTATTTTTAATTATTATACATTGTTTGATAGATTGACAAATTCATTAAGCAGTACTTATAAAGTATTAATAAAAACATAATTATTTAATGAAGGAAATAAAGAAATAGGAAGGATTTTAATTTTTGCAATATAATATATTATCATTTTTTTATTTATATATTATGATAAAACTGAACTATTTATATTGATACAAGGTTGTACTAGTTTTGAACTCACAAGAGATATTTATCCTACGAATTAGAAAAATTTATACGAGAAAATTGCTATTGATCTTTCTATAAAGTATATGCAAATATACTTTTATATGTTTGATTTTGTATATAAAACTTTTAGTGTAATTTACAGTTAACAATTAAGATATATTGTTGAAGATATTTTGGTGCACGAATAAAAACTCGATAATTGAATAGTTTAATTTTATGTTAAAAAATAAATAAATAAGTAAATTCTTTATATATAAAGAATTTATTATTTTTATAAAAATCATACAAAAAAATGCAGATCTAACAGGGATAAGTACACCCTCGGAAAAAATAGTAAAACTGGGACACCCTGTATGTCATGGACAAAGCGTAGTAAACAAGACTAATTGCGTCAATGATCGAGACATAGATACGTGTTGCTTTTGTTTGATTTTTATGTTATCGTAGCTTTAAAGCGTTAAGAAAATAACGACAGGAAACATGCAGCTTCTGTTACTGCCGCGTATTAATTTAGAACTTTATGTCAATTATTACATCACGTTTTCACACAAATTTTTCCAACGCTGAAAGAATCAACCATTCGAGTTCTTCAAAGAACGTAAAAAGTTTTATACATCACGACTTTTTTTGTAAAGATCATAATTTGCTTGAAAATTAGATACTAAAAAGTTGAAATTACGCCTATTTATCTCTCTAAAATTATTTTATCGATAATAAATCTTCTGGCACAAAAAAAATCGGAAATTACAACACATTAACGGATAATGGACTATAAGAATAATAGCGATATATCGTATTTAATTAAATTTTAACACGCATCGTCTTATTTTTTACAATGCACAATATATAAAGAATATCAATGTATAAATTAATTCCATCTAAATACGATTTGCAGCTACTCGAGGATGCGTGTGGATGGGTCCTAAAGTCTAAAAATTAAGGAACGACGCGCTACGAAGTCGAGAAGCGAGAGTTGTCTTTCGCGTGTGACGGATAATCAACATTGTTGCTCGCCGGTTCGTACCCCCGGGGGGGGTTAAAATTCAGAGCTAGGGTACGCCAGG